TGCCATTTAAAAAAATGCAAGTGTTATTCGTTACTCATTTGTTTTCTGAATTAAAAACAATAGAATGCAGTCTTATTATGGCAAATAAAATATTATACAACTTTTGTATAAAATGTTTTTTTATAAAGTCAACATTTACTATATTCTATACATAATGGGCACCTGTATATATTTTTTTCTTCAAACGTCATTAAATGACAACTTTGTTGGCGTGTTTACTCGCGGTAGAAGTAAGTTATTTTTGCATAACGACTGTTGCTAAGATCAACATAGCAAAAAAGTACATTAGCGTTATGGCGCTAAAGTAAATTTCACTTTAGCGCCATAACTTAAATTTATTAAAATTTATATTACAATTGTTTGCAACGTTTGAAGAAAAAATGCTATGTTTTATTCGGAAGAGAATTCGAAAGTTTCGTTTCTAGCTGGTCCAGCGGGTTGTGATACTATTGTTTACACAAAAAACTTGTTATTTTGACAAGTTCTAATCTTGGTGATTGACAAGTGTTTTGATTAAAATCTGAACCATCTTATATCGCTACCGCCGGGACAATTGGTCATAATTCAAAAAACATATTTTCGAGTTATAGGCATTTAAAAACTTGTAAGAATTGAATTGTATATTTTTTTGATTTAAGAGATTGTTATCAAATATTTGACTCCATAACATTTCTAAGGAAAATATATAAAATTAGGTATTAAAATCTAAATAATTTTGACCCAACACTTTTTGAATTTTGATTGACTTACGACTTTGGTCGAACAAATTATAATACATATGACTTTTTTGTCATAGTAAAATAAATGCAAGATATTGAAAAAATAACCGATTTCTGTTATTAATGTATCTTATTACGTTATACAATAAAAAAATTCAAATAAATTTGTTTTTAACAAAATAAATCTATAAAACGTCAAAAGTAATGTTATTTAATTAAAATATTGTAAACATATTTTATAAATCTACATCCACATTCTCACTTTCTTCGATATCTGTATCAATATTTGGCACATTATCAACTGGTAAGTTTTTGTAAAAATCATGGAATTGTGTATGGATAAAGGGCAAGAGAGAAAGTAAATCTTTTTTTTTTACTTTGGCTTGTAGGTATTAGTCCTTTATAACAAGGTATTAATTTAAATTTTTTTCTGCACGTACTATATGTTCAAAATTTACTATTTGAAAACATGTATCACTCAGAGATTTTGTTATGTAAATTTTCTTGGAATCAAATTGCTGGAATCGAAGCCACTTAGTTTCTTTCCATACAAATTTTTCTTCAGTTGTTATAACTTTAGAAGCAACTAAGTGGCCTTTTAATAAAGATAAAAATTCATAAAAATCTTCAGTTTGCATTTTGACAACGTCAAACACTTTTTTTTACCAGCGTTTCGTACTAACTAATACCAATCAAATGGATGCGATATAATTGATTTTGATTGCTTTTTAGCTCTTTCTATTACAGAATGATCCGAGTCACATTCCATGTGAGTGTGGCCAAACTAAGAACTTGTGGTCAATTACTTCAATATTTTTCTTTAGTTGCAAAAGCATTATAAACATCGCTGCTACATGAGTATTAGGGATCCAAGTTATTTAAATGCTTAAAGAAACAAGATTTCCTCCTCGACCTCCCATACACTCGTGCCACATGTAACATGTTGCTTGATTATCTTTCAAATTGTGTATGGTTAAATTGAAGGTCCATAATTGTCTTTTATAAAATGCAATACTCCTTGTAAATACGGTGTCGGAAGATATTGTTGTAAATCAAACACCAGAGCGGTAATCGTTGGATCTGCTTTGGCCTTGATTTTGTCAGTAGATTTAGAAGTATATGCAATCTCAGCGTCTTGTTGATGGGTTTCTAGTTCAGTCTGAATCGTGTGTCTCTCTTCAAGCATACTACTAAGAGATAATTTCATATGTAAAGAATCACACTTCTGACGAGTGTCTGCTTTTGGTTTCTTGAATGATAAATTCAAAGTACGAAATATAGATTCATATAACGTTCGTGCCTACTGGCTGATCAACAATTTCTTTGTAAAGTTGGTACATTTTGGTCAAATTAAGTTCTGAACCCAAATATTTTCTTTGTGATCTGTTACGCGTTTTAATGCTGTTGAGTATTTATGTTTTGGTGATTTTTTAAACTTCAAAAACTGTTTGTCCTAAACTGTTTCCCGAAGCACGCTCCTTTATCATAGCTAAAGTAATGAATTTTGAGTTTACATCAAAAATATTCATAAAGCATTTCTTACATAAAATAATTCTCTTTCCCTTGATTTCTGCATGATAGATACAGGGTTTACCAAAACTCCCGGGACGGAGCTATAAGTTTTGAACGAGTGAAGAAAAATATGTGAAAATTTGGGGATCACTAAAGAGTCATAAAAACCACATTCTTAGATAGTTTACAACTTCCGTGCAATGTGGAGTTTTTTGATGGGATGACCACCCCTACATTTTTAGCAACCCCTATCGAGTTTTACCTTATTTTATAGGTAATGGAGAAAGAAACACAAACCCATAAACCAATACCCCATATCTTAATTCTTTCAAGAATTATGAAGGGTTGACTACCAAATGGGAAAATAAAGTGTTTTCATGTTTTTTTGCACGTTTATTACGATTTTTATAACTAATGTTGAAATTGTCAATCTTCTTCGGTCTTGCAATGACCATTAAAATAAGTTATATGTACACTTATAACTCATTTCCTCGACAGAATTTATAAAATATATAATTAAACCTTTTTAATCGTTCTTGCCCATGACCTTACTATATAAAATAGACATACCCTTTTTCTCAGACAAAAATATTAACATGGAGAATTCAAATTTGCCTCAATCGCCATATTGTAAAAAATAGATTTTTGACCTTTTGTCCCGGCAGTAGCGATATATACAGGGTGTCTCAGCGAGACCGGTCATTAGACGTTTCTGGGGTTCTGGCGAAAATAAAAATTTGAGAATTCAGACTTAAGTATTATCAATTACGTTCTCTTCGTCTAAAATATTTTCAGATTTCTAGCACTTCCGGTTATACCGGAAGTCGCCACCTACTTTATTTTTTTAAATGGAATACCCTGTATATTTTTACATATTTGGATTTGTCTGTTTTGTACTTTTTGCAATTTGATTCGGCCGTTCTCGAGTTATTCTAGAAAAATCTGCTCCAGCGGACATTTGTTCAAAAAATCATAGAACACTCGATATTTGAGATATCAATTTAGTATTCAGAACATGCTTAAACAACATGATGGAGTATGTTTTGGTGCCAAGAACGGCTGTCTAGATCGTTTGGTCACTTTACTATTACACGTTAACTTTTCGAAATTTGGAACTATCATAACTTCATTTTTTTAAATGGCACCCCCCATATTTTATTACTTAGTCGTCTTCGGCGTCTCATTTTATATCTTTTATACTCCATATGTCCTATGCCTAACATTAATAGTTTGAGAAATAATTAGGGTTTTTTGAAAAATGCTCACATATCATATCGATATTAACCTAGTGTGCCATGGAAAACAAATGTTTAATGACTTATTGACAAACGTCAAAGTCTGATTTACGTTGTTTGATGCTTGTGAGTCTGAAACCAGATAAAATGGATATTAATAACGTAAATAATGTTTATACAAATAAAGAAATCCATAATTTATTTTTTGTGCACGAAAAGTGCGACAAAGTTCTTAGTAGAACTTGCAGAATGTTTAATGAAAATTATCCACATTTATCTCCGATGACAAAAGGTAAATTTAGAGGAATAGAAGCAAATTTTTTGCATTTTGGACGAATTAATCACGTGTTAAACTGACCAAAAAATGTAGTAGATAATGCAATGGAAGAGGTGAATACCTTGGCTTATTTCGAGCCCAGTCCCAACAGCTCAATTCGAGCTGCCAAAGAAGATCTGGGAATCATACTACGAACTTTGTCGCGCTTTTCGTGCAAAAAAAATAAATTAAGAATTTCTTGATTTGTGTAAATATTACTTTCGTTATTGTTATCGATTTTAACTCGTTTCAGTACTAATATTAAGGGACATAACGGATAATTATTAGCTCACATGCATCAAGTGACGTAAACAAGTGAGCCTTTGACAAGAACTCATTGAGAAGGCTTGTTTTTCATGGCACACTAGGCTAAATATCCATATGATATGTGTGCATTTTTCAAAAAACCCTAATTATCTCCCAAACTATTAATATTAGGTATGGGCCATATGGGATATAAAAGATGTAGAATGAGACACCGAAGACGACTAAAAAATAAAATATGGGGGGTGCCATTTAAAAAAATGAAGTTATGGTACTTCCAAATTTTGAAAAGTTAACGTGCCATAGTAAAGTGATCAAACGTTCTAGACCACAGTTCTCGGCACCAAAACATACTCCATCATGTTGCTTAAGCATGTTCTTAATCTTAAATTGATATCCCAAAAATTGAGTGTTTTCTGATTTTTTGAACAAATGTCTGCTGGAGCAGATTTTTCTATAAAAATTCGAATAACTCGAGAACGACCGAATCAAATTGCAAAAAGTAAAGTTATTTATAAACTTTGAAAACAGACAAATCCAAATATGTAAAAATATATAGGGTGTTCCATTTAAAAAAATAAAGTTGGTGGCGACTTCCGGTATAACCGGAAGTGCTAGAAATCTGAAAATATTTTAGACGAAGAGATCGTAATTGATAATATTTAAGTATGAATTCTCAAATTTTTATTTTCGCCAGAACCCCAGAAACGTCTAATGACCGGTCTCGCTGAGACACCCTGTATAAAATAGACTTATACCCTTTTTCTCAGACAAAAATATTAATATGGAGAATCCAAATTTGCCTCAATCGCTATATTGTAAAAAATGGACTTTTGACCTTTTGTCCCGGCAGTAGCGATATATGTATATATATGTATATAAACTAATGTCTCAAACTAGTGTAGTATCAAATTCGTTCGATTTTTTAATGTTTCTCCTTTACTTTTATTTCAGTATTTTGTAACAATGGTTGTTGTTACAAAAATTCCAGACGTTGAAGCGTCTTCTCAAGAACTACTAAAAGAACATCTAAAAACAGAATCGGCATCACCTTTGGTTATCAACAAAGAAGACTTTCCATTAAAGTAAGAATTTATTTTATTTTGTTCTTAAGCAAAAATATTAATTTTTTCCACACTTGATTAAGCACTTAATCAAAAGTTGATTGTTTTATTTCCGGGAAACCTTTTTATTTTATAATCTTTTAGTTGTGAGTGATCAGTTTATTTTTATCAAATCCGGAAGTACGTAGACCGAGAATAGATTGTGGCATTTGATAAATTTGTTTATAAACATTGTTTATTTATTTTGAATTTAAATCCGATGTTTTTGCCCTAGATTATTATTGCTTATGTTACAATAATTGTAAATTCCAATCAATTAAGCGTTGATTTTATTTTATTACAAATCAATTCTGAGAAACACACAAATATTACAAATCAGTTGTGAACCTTGGTCTGCCTTAACAGTTCTTTTCAAAAATCGTTTTCAAATCGTTGTCATTAAGTTTGAATTATTTTTTCCAGAGTTTCGGTAAATCAACCAAATGAAGAAATTAATACCACCATCGATTACAACAATATTCCTCGTGGACTAAAAACTTGCAAACAATTAATTAGAAAATCTATACTAGAGAAAAACAAGACTTTATTAAAAGAAAGTTGCATCGGTCTAATATCGGAACTTTCCGTGTTGACAGTTTTGGAAATTTACTCATTTCTGAATGATGTATCACCGTTTAATGATGAACCATCGGCTCCCCCCACTTCCGAAATAGACCACGACTGGACGATGATATTCCAAAAAAGTATTGCAAAATGCCAAGAAGAATGTGATAAAATAATAAACGAGAAAACATACGATATATTCACAAACATTGATGATGTGATGAAACTATCGTATCGAGATTTATTGGGGATTTTAAAACGGACTACTTTAAACGTAAAATTATTGTACTTATTACACATACAATTTTTTTATGAACACTTTTTTTAGGTTTCTGATGAAGAGTTTTTATACGAAATCATGTACGAATGGGCTGAAAGACGTTCGTCTAATCATAAAGATTTCCAAAGAATTTTGGGCGATCTTCCACATCACATTCGTTTTGGCACGATGAAACCGAAAACGTTCAAAAAGTTAAAAGGAATCAAAGATGTTCTAGACCAAAAAGATATACGAATTATCCGTTTTTATTTGGAGGAAAAAACGAAAGGACGAGAAACCCACACGTTACCGCATCAATGGTCCAACCCAAGAATCACTTCGAATGATTGTAATACAAGAGTTGGTAGAAATAAAAGATTGGAACGCGCGGGAATGTATTGTTTGATATGCTGGATGTTTGTTTTTGATTAATTAGTAAACAACTTCAAAAATCTAATCAGAAAAGATCTCATTTTTAAGTTATTATTTACAATACAAGCTCATTTTGCGAACATTTCATGTTTCATGATTTTATTGCCAAACATTTTAATTAACAACAAACTAACGCCATATCAACTTGAATTTTATTGTGATTTTTTATATGTTTTAAAATAACTGAAAACTACTGTTTCTTATCTTTCTTACGATTATTGTAATATTTTAAACTCAAGGTGAAATGTTTTGATGAGTAACTACGCAATTTGTTTATGATATTTTACTCTTTTTTTACTCTATTTTTTGTGTTGACGTAATACTTCTTACGGTGTTTCGTGAAATAATTACGTTCAACTTATTAATACAGGTTATCACAAATTTATTATGTTTTAAAAAATAACTAACGAAAATTTCTTATATGTGTTAATTAACCAGTGATATTGTTGTCTCTTAGTTTTATTAATTTGATTATTTTCTAATTTTATTTAACGTTACGTTTTTAAACTTTTAATTTAATGCGTTGATATTTAGTGTTAATGTTAAATTTTTTTTCGTGCTTTATTCAAAACTAACTTTTGGTTTTTAACCTATTCGTATATGTCTGTGATCTCAAGTTTGTATACACAATTATATCTATACATATTCTCAATATATTTATCTTAATGTTACTTGTTAAAGATCAGTTCAAAGTGGATGGATTTGCACATTTTCCTCACCGCTTTCGCCGTTATGAATCGATTAATTATAATGAATTTGTCGTTAGAATAGGGATAATCACGTTATTTATTTTCAAATTGTTTTGAACTGATTTTTAATAATGCGTCAGCGAAAAATGTTAGAACTCAAAAGTAAACAAAAAATTCAAATGTTGGGACCTTTATGAACGATAAACATGTGTTAAATAAATTTAAATGTTTAGGAAAATACTTACAAAATTACTATTATAAAGATGTTGTGAAAAATATACATAGAAAGTGAAATTATATAAATATTGCCAAATAAAATTGATGTTCACATTTAATATTATTTTATTTATAACCCTTGTAATGTTTATAAAGTGAACTCATCAGTGGTTATGTTGAGTATTTAAGGCGATTGTCATGTTAAAGCAATGAGGAATGAATCAGAATCAGTTTTAAACAATCGTTGTTTTAATAAATTCTTATGAAATTATCAGCATTTGCAATACAAATTATTAGCTTTCCAATGAATGAAACGGATTTTCAAGATATCCTTTAGTTCTTGAGATATTGACTTTTAAACATATATTTCTCATTTTTCGGTTAAACAATTATTATGAGACATTTTAAAAAAATCGTAATAAATCGTATTACTAATAAATTCTTATGAAATTATCAGCATTTGCTATATAAATTATCAGTTTTCCAATGAGTGAAACAGATTTTCAAAATATCTTTTAGTTCTTGATATATTGACTTTCAAACACAAGGCATTTCTCATTTTTCGGTTAAACAATTATTTATGAATCATTTTGAAAATATCGTAATTAATAGCAGCTTTAATAAATTCTTATGAAATTATCAGCATTTGAAATACAAAGTATTAGTTTTCCAATGAATGAAACGGATTTTCAAAATATCTTTTATTTTTTGAAATATTAACATTTATATACAGGGTGAGTCAGAAAGAATGGGAAATCCGAATACCGGAGATACTAGACACCAAAATATGATGATTTAACGTAACATCTCTTATACAAATGTCAGTGGTTTTCGAGGCGAAAATCCAGATTTAAGTCCACTGGATTTTTGAAAATGGTCACAATATTCTATTGTTATTAATTAATCGTTATTGTTATCGATTATTATCGTTACTAATTGCTATAGTTACTGTGTGTTATTGACTTTAAATGTTAACCTTAAAATTACTTTGAAACAATTAAAAGCAGATAACTTGGAAACCAGTAGACTTAGACAATGTAAGCAAGAGTACCTTTTTTGTGCAGAATTGAAAACTCCTTCAGATTTCTGGTTCTAATTCACCATACCTCAACTGACAAAATAGTCATGACTTGGTATCTCAAACGTACAGTGTGTATCTAGCGCCTTCTACGAGTAATCACAAAACAAATATCAAATTCGTATTTCTCATGCTTGAAAACATCTAACTGCCAAATTTTATGTTAATAGTACAAAAACCTTCAAAATTATCAAGAAATTTTGGAATAAAAATTTAACTTTCAACACCCTGTGTATTAAAAATCACCGACATTTGTATAAGACATGTTAGGTTAAATCGTCATATTTTGGTGTCTAGTGTCTCCGGTATTCGGATTTCCCATTCTTTCTGACTCACCCTGTATAAGGCATTTTCTCACTTTTCGGTTAAACAATTACTTTGAATCATTTTTCAAAAATCGTAATAAATCGTAGTTTTAATAAATTCTTATGAAGTTATTAGTACTTGCAGTCCAAATTATCAGCTTTCCAATGGATGAACCGGATTTTCAAAACATCTTTTAGTTCTTGAGATATTGACATTCAAACATAAGGCATTTCTCATTTTTCGGTTTATCATTTTCGGTAATAAATCGTATTTTTAATAAATTTTTATGAAATTATCAGCTTTCCAATGAATGAAACGGATTTTCAAAATATCTTTTAGTTTTTGAGATATTGGCCTTCAAACATAAGGCATTTTCCCGTTTCGGTTAAGCAATTATTAATGAATCATTTTTAAAACATCGTAACAAATTGTTGTTTTAATAAATTCTTATGAAATTATCAGTACTTGCAGTCCAAATTATCAGCTTTCCAATGAACGAAATGGATTTTCAAAATATCTTTTAGTTCTTGAGATATTAACTCCTAAACATAAGACATTTCTCATTTTTCGGTTAAACAATTATTATGACTCATTTTTAAAACTTTGTAATAAATCGTAGTTTTAATAAATTCTTATGAAATTATCAGTACTTGCAGTCCAAATTATCAGCTTTCCAATGGATGACACAGATTTTCAAAATATCTTTTAGTTTTTGAGATATTTATTATCAAACATAAGGCATTTCTCATTTTTCGGTTAAACAATTACTTTCAATCATTTTTAAAAAATCGTATTTTTAATAAATTCTTATTAAATTATCAGCATTTGCAATATAAATTATTAGCTTTCCAGTGAATGAAACGGATTTTCAAAATATCTTATATTTTTCAGATATTAACTTTTAAACATAAGGCATTTCTCACTTTTCGGTTAAACAATTATTATGAATCATTTAAAAAAAATCGTAATAAATCGTATTTTTAATAAATTTTTATGAAATTGTCAGCATTTGTAATATAAATTATTAGCTTTTCAATGAATGAACCGGATTTTCAAAATATCTTTTAGTTCTTGAGATATTTACATTCAAACATAAGGCATTTTTCATTTTTTGGTTAAACAATTATTATGAATCATTTTTAAAAAATCGTAATAAATCGTTGTTTTAATAAATTCTTATGAAATTATCAGCATTTGCAATATAAATTATTAGCTTTCCAATAAATGAAACGGATTTTCAAAATATCTTATAGTTTTTCAGATATTAACTTTTAAATATAAGGCATTTCTCATTTCTCGGTTAAACAATTACATATTTTGAATCATTTTTAAAAAATCATAATAAATCATAGTTTTAATCAATTCTTATGTAATTATTAGATTTCCAATGGACGAAACGGATTTTCAAAATATCTTTCAGTTATTGAGATATTAACTCTTAAACATAAAACATTTCTCATTTTTCGGTTTAACAATTATTATGAATTATTTAAAAAAATCATAATAAATCGTATTTTTAATACATTTTTATGAAGTTATCAACATTTGTAATATAAATTATTAGCTTTTCAATGAATGAAACGGATTTTCAAAATATCTTTTAGTTCTTGAGATATTAATATACATTGATACATCTTCTTGGTTGGCTTTAAAAATTCTTGGAAAATATTACTGAATCGCTAAATATAGTTGGAAACCCCAGAACATCATCGTGAATGTTTAGAGGGTGAACGAAATTATTATAAATTTCTTGGAATGGAATGGAGTTTATAGAAAGCACGAAATGAAAAGTTTATTTTATGAAGAAACAGAACCTTTATTGTATGGTTCTAGATTTGCAGATCAGTTTTTATTATTCGAAAGTTTAAAATCAATTTTCTCAAAACATTGTTTTTACAGCTCTTAGATACGATATTTCAAAAACTACTTAACCAATTTTCTTGAAGAGTGTTAATTTTTTTCTTGTGGTAATTAATTTCATACCCGACGTCATCATTGCAAGTATGCAACCAATAGCACAGTATTACTATTGCAATACGCGATTTGCGTATTTCAGCTCATCACAAAGTTCTATCCATTTACTCTATTTGCTAGCTTATTTTTCAAATATGAAGACTTTTGTTAGCTTTCCTAAAAGTGTTTTGTCTTTTCTTTAATTTTCCTGTCTCTACAATTAATTTTTGGTCCCACAAGTAACAAATTTCAAAATTTATTACATACTCTTCTCTTCCTTTCTGTTTCCTTGTACTTTTGATTTATGTAAAACCACTCTTTACACATTAATGGGGATGTGTTGACACACTCAAGATCTCAAACTCAAATTCCCAGAGAATAAAAATCATTTATGTAAACATACATTCGACTCTAAATTAGGAAATACAATGATTTAATTAAGGTTTATTTTGTAATTTTAAATTACATGAAACTTAAACAATGTTAAATACTTATTAGGATTAATAACTATTAATAACAATATATTAAAACTATATATCTAAAAAAAAAATAACTGTTTATAATATTTGTAAATATACAAAGATAACTTCCATACTTTCAAATAAATCCATTTTGTTTATCCTTCTTAAAAGCATAATAATTACCATATAAACAAATTTGTTTGATACTAAAATCGTATACCAACTTACATAAAACTTCACTTACTTTTTCTTTAACTTCAACGAATTTTTTTTTATCAGTTTCACATTCTGTAGAATACAATTGAAACACAGAATTTTTCAATTCACTTCCAACATTACATTCAATGTTTGTTATCAAATCTGACAATTCCCTTTGATTTAAATCACAACGAGTTTTTGTAATAAATTCTTCCATCATATGATCTTCTAATAATTGTGAAGATATGTCTTTGTACTGTTGATTATTTTGTGGTTTATGTTTACTATCGCCAGCATGTTTGCAAATTAAATGACAATATTTACAAGTGTTCGTAGTATCTATACGGTTACAAATATTGGACCATCGCTGTGATATTTCCATAATATTCGTTTGGTTCTTCCTTAATTCCTTAGAATTAGTGGAATTATAACTATAATCACTTGCTTCTGATACTGAACTTTCAAGTTTTGTAACATCATTTTCATATGAAACATATCCCAATTCATCCCATTTTGTTAATTCTGAATATTTTGAAATCAGAGACTGCCATTCATTTTGTCTTCTATTATTGATCACGTCTTCTAACTCCACTATAGTTTGTTCATTATCACTTGTGTTCATCATTGTGCAGACTTTTTGTTTTAAACTTGATTTCGTTTATAAAGACGTTTAACTTTTTGTATATACTTTTGACATGTAATTAAATTTGTAGTTTTCTAACTTATCAAAGGTTGATATAGTAGAGGACTACATCATATTTAACAAAATTCGTTAATTAAACGTGAAATTTTCATTTTTATTTATAAATTATTGTTATCATTATGGTTGCTTATAGATATACAGTCTATTCCGCTTTTAAATCAATTATTGGTATTAGAATTTTATAAAAAAACTATCCCGCCAAATAATAAGTAAGGTTATGTACGTTCCAATTGAGCTGTCAATTTAAAAACAAACGTCTCTAACCTCTACTCATGGATGTAATTGCAATATTCCCGTTTATTTCTTGCTATAATTAATATACTAATTAGCTTAAACTATATAGGTATTACACAACACATGACTGAGGTAAGTTTTTACTGAGGTATTTTTACCATACTTTTAGTTATAAATTTTTATTTTTTTAGACTAATAAAATGACTGTTTCATCTCCATTCTTTGAAAGGAGAAGATTTAATTAATAGTCTGACTGAAGGAATAGACATCCATTCAAAGCTAATGAGTATAAGTCCTCTTCCTATTGCAAAAACTATTCTATGCTGGAAAGTAAGGAGATTCTGTGATTACCAGTCTTGATATATATGTACATATTTAAGTATAAGATATAATTAAATTGAAACCATTACATTATTTTGATCGACTATTTCAGGTTTCCATTTTTTCTAACTACTGTAGATATTATTTTTTATATTCACAATCAGTACAGATTATGACTGCTTAACAGCCATCACTGCTGCTTTTAAAATTATTTTTCTTAATTCTTCTTCTACCTTTTCTTTCCTCTGCCTTCCTTCAATAATTGGAAGTTGATGGGATCATAAAATAAGTATACTTTTCCTCTTTATTTCGTACATGTTGGAAATTCCAAGTAATTGGAGATTCAAAAAGAACTTGATCAGAAACTGTTAGTGATTTTAAATCATTTTCTAGAATTTCAGTTGAAGATTGATTCTCTGATGGGAAAGAAAAACCAGGAAAGTTGTTTTCATCTTCAGTTTGTACAAGGTTTTGTTCTTCATTCCAGGTAGATGTTGATTTAATAAGATTTTGATTAAAATCTGGATTTGATTAGGAAATTAATACCGATGATTTATTTTCTTGCTCAGTGTTGTGATGTTCCAGCTTGATAGTTGATGTTTTAATGAAATTATAATCAGAAATTGTCTTTTCTTTTTCATTTAGTACATAATATATAACCATAGATTCCACAAGATTTTGAATAGAAGTTGTATCTGATTTAAAATGGATACAAATAATTTCTTCAAGATCTTGCTTCAGTTTTATACCATCTTTTAAACTTTTTACTACACATTCAATTTCTGAATTCAAAGTATTAATAAAGTTTTCTTCCCCAAAATTTTTTGTTTTCATGCTACAATTAAATGCAGCATTATTTTTAAAGGTACCATATCTTTTATTAACATCCCTTATTAATTTATTATTTTCTATAAGTAAATCGCTTATATTTAAATAATTCGAATATCGTAGTTTTCGAATATTTACTGTTTCAATTCGTTTTCCTGATGTTATTCCGTTTATACGAATTCCATTCATTATAAGTTCTTGATTATTCGTCCAATTCACACCTTCCATCATCAGATAAACTATACTCATCATAATTGCAGCAATTATCTGCATAATGATTCTTCAAATATTCTACAACCAATTAGCATGGTACTAATTCAGTTTAAAAAATTTAGTTAAAAAATTTATTAATCTTAATTAAATTATATTTTGCTGTAATTTTAAATCCACTTACAATCTTTCAGCTTTTTTTAAATTATAATTATATAATATCATTTCGGTACAAATATGTACTTTATAATGATAATAACAGAATAAGTTTTGGTTATACTTAATCAGCAAAGTATACGCACAGCAAGTGTTTCTGGTTTTTTAAAGGAAGATAAACAACATCTTTGATTAGCTTAGACTATAAAATAGGATTTGAACTTCTAATTTCGCACTAACGCTATCTTAGTTCTTCTCCAGTTTTAATTGATATTCAGCGCTAGATTACTGTATATTTTTATTGAACTAAAAGTAGACGCAAGGCTAAATCCGAATGTGCTCCGCTACGTAGATATCACGTTCGTGATCTGGCAACACGCAAAAGAGCGACTCAAGGAATTCCTAGACCACCTCATTCACACCACTCCATGATTATATTTACCATGGACACGGAAGCTGCAAAACAATTGCCTTCCTGGATGTTTTGGTCACTAGAAAGACAGATATTGAAAGAAGACACATACGAATAGGTACCTGCAGGCTTCATCTCATCACCACCCACAATAGAAGAGGTCCGTGATTAAAGCCTTATTCCAGCGAGCAGAGAGGATATGTGACAAAGAAAACTTAAAGAAAGAAGAGATTCCTACAAGATGTACTGCAGAAGAACGGGTATACGATGAGGGATATACAACGAGCCACCAAACCACGCAAGCAGAAGGAAGACTCGGTAAATACCGCACCAGTTGGATTTATCTGCCTTCCTTATGTTCAGGTGTAACAGAGCGAATTGTGAGATGCCTGAAAAAGAATGATATCGTGGTACGATACGGTACGAACAGCAAAATACAGAACGCTCTTCCGATAACTAAAGACAAACTAACTCCATTAAAGGGAGCAGGAGTTTACCGGCTACTGTGCAGTTGCGGGAAGTATTACGTTGGCCAAACTGGATGTAACATCGAATACCGCATCAAGGAACATGAGAGAGATGTCCGACTAAACAAAATCCAACAATCTGCAGTCGCAGAGCATTACGAAGGAGAACACACCATAGAGTTCGCCAAAACCAAAGTATTAGCTAGAATCGGATATTATTTCTAAAGAATGGCAACAGAGGCGATAGAAATCCATCGGCATGGGAATAACATGTTGTTGTTCAGCGTTAGGTTATTGTATATTTTTATTAAACTAAAAGCCGAACAATCACTAGACTTAGAACTAGAAACATTCCGGTTTAGCTGTGCGTCTCTTAAAACGGCTAAAGCCGAATAAGTAGGTAAGAGGTATTTCAGAAATCAAAACATTTTCAATTATTTTTTAAAATAACTTTCTTATATTTTTATTAAGTTTAGATATATTTTTTCTTTTCACGTTCAAGTTTTTATTTGTACAAAATTTAAATTTTTTATTACCTTTAAACACCAAAGATACTTTATCCAAAGACACTTCGAATTTATATAACTTACAATAAGGAGTTATTTTAATCAGAGGAAACGTGACAGAAGGAGTATATTGGAGTAAAAGGTTTAAATGTAAACTATTATTAAAGGCCTCCGTTGCAATTAAAACACGTTTTTTTAGATTATTAAGATATGTGTTATTACTTCGATGCTGATAAGAAGGTACAAATGTTGATGGAAATATACTTTGATATCCACAATCAACGCTTTTCTTTGCTGACACATCAAGATAAGCTAATGTTGAAAACACGCTGGATGGTAGATAATAAATTCCTTTCGGCACAATATCGATATAACCCTGTTTTTTTTTACAAATATTAGTAATTATTTTCCGTCCTCTGAAGAAGCGTTCTTGAAAAAATATCATTCTCATTAGAACGTCTGGTTCTGAGATAAAGGAATAGTTACAAAAAGGCACACTATTCTTAAACATTTCGTTTCTATCTGCATTGCTAAAGAGAATGTGCGGCACATTTACTGCATTAATACAAAAATTTTCTATTTCACCAAATGAATCTTCTATAATATAGCGTAATAATTTGTTTTCACATTCGTCTAAGTTGTTTTTAAAGAAATTATTCCATGACGGGTGGAATGGTAAATTGCCTACATTATTTACATATGGATTGAAGTCTTCTTCCTGATTCTCAATTTCTTCATTATCATTTAAGAGTCTCTCGTTTTCTAAAATTTCAACAATTAAATTACGAGTTACATTTTCTACGTTTGTGTTAATGAAATCTTTGGGTTCTTCAATTAAGTCATGTTTTTTATCATTAGATTTGAGTTCTTCACTTAAAAATGAATTGAAATCTTTTTCATTCTCAATTTCTTCATTATCATTTAAGACTTTCTCGTTTACTAAAGATTTAACAGTTAGCGTACGAGTAACATTTTTGAATTTGCTTCTACTTTTTTTTCTTTTTGACATTTTAGCGGTTTTTGAACTTGATTTTTGCACATTGCCATCTTTTTCCGTCGCATCTACAAGATATTCTTCGCCTTCATGTTCAAAATTCTCTACTTCAACTTCCTCCTTAGATTTTAAAGGTGACCTACATGTGTTAAAATCTTCAGCATTAACAATATTTATCAAGTTATTTTTAAAGAAATCATGCCATGAAGGGTGGTATGGTAAATTGCCTACATCATTTAGATATGAATTGAAATCTTCTTCCTGATTCTCAATTTCTTCATTGTCATTTAAGAGTATCTCGTTTTCTGAAGATTTAACAGTTAGCTTACGAGTAACATTTTTGAATTTGCTTCTACCTCTCTTCCTTTTCGACATTTTTGAGGCTTTTGAACTTGATTTTTGCCCGTTATCAGCATTCTCAGTTGCATCTATGAGAGCTTCGCTTTCATCTTTGACATCCTCCATTTCAACTTCATCTTCAATTTTTACAGACGAAGTAAATGAGTTATCGTTTTGAGTGTTAATGAAATCTTTGGGTTCTTCAATTAAGTCATGTTTTTTATCATTAGATTTTTGTTCTTCAATTAAAAATGATTTGAAATCTCTTTTATTCTCAATTTCTTCATTATCATTTAAGACTTTCTCGTTTTCTGAAGATTTAACAGTTAGCTTACGAGTAACATTTTTGAATTTGCTTCTACTTCTTTTCCTTTTCGACATTTTTGAGGCTTTTGAACTTGATTTTTGCCCGTTATCGTCATTCCCCGTTGCATCTATGAGATCTTCGCTTTCATCTTTGACATCGTCCATTTCAACTTCATCTTCAATTTTTACAGATGAAGTAAATGAATTATCGTTTTGAGTTTTAATGAAATCTTTGGGTTGTTCACTTAAAAATGAATTGAAAACTTTTGCATTCTCAATTTCTTCATTATCATTTAAGACTTTCTCGTTTACTAAAGATTTAACAGTTAGCGTACGAGTAACATTTTTGAATTTGCTTCTACTTTTTTTTCTTTTTGACATTTTAGCGGTTTTTGAACTTGATTTTTGCACATTGCCATCTTTTTCCGTCGCATCTACAAGATATTCTTCGCCTTCATGTTCAAAATTCTCTACTTCAACTTCCTCCTTAGATTTTAAAGGTGACCTACATGTGTTAAAATCTTCAGCATTAACAATATTTATCAAGTTATTTTTAAAGAAATTTATCCATGACGGGTGGAATGGTAAATTGCCTACATTATTTACATATGGATTGAAGTCTTCTTCCTGATTCTCAATCTCTTGATTATCATTTAAGAGTCTCTCGTTTTCTGAAATTTCAACAATTAAATTACGAGTTACATTTTCTTTGTTTTCAACTTTTACAGATGAAGTAAATGAGTTATCGTTTTGAGTTTTAATGAAATCTTTGGGTTCTTCAATTAAGTCATGTTTTTTACCATTAGATTTGGGTTCTTCACTTAAAAATGTATTGAAATCTTTTTCATTCTCAATTTCTTCATTATCATTTAAGACTTCCTCGTTTTCTGAAGATTTAACAGTTAGATTATGAGTAACATTTTTGAATTTGCTTCTACTTCTTTTCCTTTTCGACATTTTTGAGGCTTTTGAACTTGATTTTTGCCCGTTATCAGCATTTTCCGTTGCATCTACAAGATCTTCGTTTTCATCTTTAATATCCTCCATTTCAACCTCATCTTCAACATTTACAGATGACATAAACGAGTTATCGTTTTGAGTTTTAATGAAATCTTTGGGTTCTTCAATTAAGTCATGTTTTTTACCATTAGATTTGGGTTCTTCACTTAAAAATGAATTGAAATCTTTTTCATTCTCAATTTCTTCGTTATCATTTAAGACTTTCTCGTTATCTGAAGATTTAAGAGTTTGCTTACGATCAACATTTTTGAATTTGCTTCTACTTCTTTTCCTTTTTGACATTTTTGAGGCTTTTGAACTTGATTTTTGCACATTATCAGCATTTTCCGTTGCATCTACAAGATCTTCGTTTTCATCTTTAATATCCTCCATTTTAACTTCATCTTCAACTTTTACAGATGAAGTAAACGAGTTATCGTTTTGAGTGTTAATGAAATATTTGGGTCCTTCAATTAAGTCATGTTTTTTATCAGTTGATTTGGGTTCCTCACTTAAAAATGAATTGAAATCTTTTTCATTCTCAATTTCAACTTTTTCCATTTCAACTTCATCTTCAATTTTTACAGATGAAGTCAATGAGTCATTCTCAATTTTTTCATTATCATTTAAATCTTTCTCGTTTTCTGGAGAGTTAACGTTTAAACTATCAGTAACATCTTCATCGGCCGTTGCATCTACAAGATATTTCTCCTCTTCTTCTTTAGAATTCTTCATTTTAACTTTATCTTCACCTTTTATAGAAGATGTAAATGTGTTATCTTCATGCATTTCGTTATCACATTTCGGTTCTTCCTTCAGACATGAAATAACTGTATTAACACTTGATATTATCGTTTCATGTTTTTCTAAGATTTCTTTGTTTTCGTCATGATTATTTTCTTGACCCTTTTTCATTTTCACATCTTCAATCTTATTCTTATTTTTCTTCTTAACTTTGTTATTCGTCTTAACATCTTTTGTTTCATCGTTGTTAGTACTAACTTGTTTATTTTTACCCCTTCCTCGTTTTCCCCTCTTAGATTTTTTGGTCAATTTTGTTTCTTCATAACTTTGTAGCACCCCAACATCATTTTTTACACATTTTTTATTTTTTTTAACTTTTTTTGCAATTTCTTTTTTGATTTCCTTTTTAATTTCTTCCTTATTCCCATTATTTAACATCGAATCATTTACACGAATACTATTTTTCTTTAATAAGTCTCTATTAATTGCGAATTCTTCATCGCTACTGCTATCCCTTGATTCAAAGTGTAATGATAATTTTATTGGTTGTACGCGAACGGAATTGGCTATTAGTTCTTCGGTTCTTTCTGGGGGTGGTTTGTTCTTATAGTATTCTTCATCTAGATCACTTTCACCACTGCTGCCGCTGGAACTTTTGTTGTAATCGTTATCACCTGATATTTCATAATGGTTATTTAAATAAATGTGCGCTTCGGCACTTGTTAGTTGTTCCATAGTATTTTGTTGTTAACCATCGCTTGTTTCACTATAATGATGAACTGATATCTAATACTCCATAAATTTGTTTAGTTAGAAACCTTTGTTTGATAAAAACTTATCTACAAATATATGTAAGTAGTATTTGTACATATAATCAAAATGTGATAATTTATTTTTATTATTTACTTGATGGTTACAAAAATTAATTAAGGAATATTTATATGTATTAGATTAGTCATTTCTGCACTGAACCAAAAAAAAGTGATGTCATCATCACATCGTGAGTTAAACGAATTCCCGCTACGCAGTATATTTCTGGGAATACTTATTTCATTTAAAATAAATTACATCAAAAAATAATTCCTAGAATATTTACTCCATATTAATCCTTATCACATTTCTTTTCACCAAACATTTAAATACATCCAAATGTTTCTATTTTTATTTCTTAGCCGGTTAGTTATAAAAGGTTAAGTTTTGGGATGTAACAGGTCCTTAGAACCACCGTCATTTATGGCACTTTAAAAAGGATCTTATTCAAAAAAAAGGCCGAACAGAGCTCCCCGTCCCTTTGCCCAAATGACCGACTATTCACTTGTCTCTGAACCTTTTGTTCGGATCCTACCGCAAGAATTAAGTGCTTTTCGAGCCTTTGTTAAGTTTTTGTTTGCTTTCTTTTTTATTTTTTTTCCTGGAAATCGCAAAAACTGATGATGCACTTTACTCATTTTTGACATACATATATATTCGCATCTTTTGTTTTCATTGTTTAAAAAAAAATGAATTGTTGGAAATGTTATTCGTCGAACCAAAACGGAAACGGTTCGTCGATTAAGTTAAATACGCATCGTACGTACTTACTATTATATTGTACAATAATTACGATGTGAATCGTAGTAGTATAGTAGAAGTTATCCTAATTGGTTGACTCCGGTGAGTCATTTTGCACGGTCACAGCAGAGGACACACAAATGGACGGCTAACAACGTGAGTTGTTGAAGTTTGCAACGGCGATCGGATAAACCGGACCGGGGGCGGATTAATTCAACAGACAATGTCCAATTAACTTCATTATTATCCGCTCCATCCGCCGTACAAAACCCGTGTAAACAATAATAGTATTACAAGACAAAAGACACAAAAACAGATACAGTTTTAAATTGTTTTTTTAAAGTATAGAAATAAATAATTTTGTGATTTAATTCTATCAATTTTTTATTTAAAACATATTTTACAAATTATCAAAGTATTATTGGATTACACATTTATGTTATAATTTGAAATTCTTTAAAAACGCTGTCTTTTCACTTTAATTAAACTAATAAGATGGACAAAGAAAATCGTGATGGAGCAGACGAAATCCGTTATCATCTAATGATCAAACTATTAGAAAAACTGGAGAACCACCCCTGTTCGACAACAACATATATTCTTGAGTAATGTTTATAAGGTTGCTTACCAAACCAAATTCTTTGTAGCCTATTTATGTGCAACCGAAGCAATGGCCCATTCGCCATTTTGGTATTTACTGCGCTTGGAAAAGAAAGATAAATGCAAGAAACGTTTCAATCAAACGGCTGTTGATCAACTATCAACATGAGAGCAGAACGAATTTTAAGCACAGCACCAGTTTTATTTCTCGAGTGGCAACTACGAGGAGGAAAGTGAGAATAGAAAGGAATGAGATGATCATAGTTAAATAGTCCAGATGAGTTCAATATAACTTTTGCTGCGAATAAGGACAGGAAATCAACTACTTGACTTAAGCTGATAAAATAATTTAAAACACAAGCTAAAGAGATAATGCAAGAAAATGCAATTAGCTCGTGGGTTAACTTGCCATATCCGAGATTTCTATTTTTCATCGTAAGTGCCAACTTGTTAGCAACATGAGCTATAACTTATAATCTTATTTATCATATTGAAGTGTGAAATATGATGGTAACATAAACTGTTGTGCTCTCAAACTTCCATGTTGTACTTAATTGAAATATGAATTATTATATCTTGAAACTTCTTATCATTATCGTAATATCTGGCAACTTCTTGGTAGCATAAATTATTATATTTCGAAAGTTCTGTCCAATCTGTCATTTTATTGCCGAAATGAGCTATTACATCTAGAAATTCCTATTCTTCATCGTAGTCAACTTGTCGTTAACATAACTTGTAGGTCTAGTATACTTAGTTGAATCGTGAGCCTTTTATTCTATATCTTAGAGTCTGGCAATTTATTTATAGCATGAGCTATTGTGTATTGTATATATTGTTATACGTCTATTTAGTGCCTAAGAGTCCGACAACTTGTTGGCATCATGAACTATTACATTTCGCAACTCCTATTTGCAACCCAAATCGCAACTCACCCAAAAGGCAATACAATCCAACCCAAGTCGTATCCCAATCCAAACCGCAATCCAACCCAAGCCATAACCGAACACAAACCGTAACCCAACCCAAATCGCAACCCATTCCAAACCGCAACCCAACCCAAATCGTAACCCAAACCACGACCCAACCCAAATCGGAAATCATCCCAAACCGCAACCCAACCCAAACTTCAATCCAAACCTAAACTCTACCCAAAACGGAACCCAAACAATAACCCAACCCAAATCGCAACGCAAACCAAACCGCTATATATTTGAGAAGTTAATTTTTAAGCAAAAATGAGAAATAGTTATAAATAAATTTTAAGTTAGTGAATTATGTTTTTGTGATTTACTATGAATAATTTTTAATAATATCATTATCATTCACAGATTTTGGTTTTTGAGCAATAATCTACAGGTAATTCAAATTCGACCAACACCATTGGGATCTCAGAAACCATAAGAGATACAGAAATGGTTAAATGGGGGCAAAGTTGCGTATCTTAGAGCACATCATTTTGCAAGTAAGTTTTTGGATCTAGCCGTTTTAGTTTTTAAAATATGACCGAAAAACAAAAATATGACTTTTTTTGACTAACCTGATGATAGTTTCACGAAACGTCGGAGTAAATTTCTAGAGTTGTCATGTCATTTTTCATAAAAAGTTGCCTTAAGAATGTTTTTTCAGATTTACGAAAAAACGAAAAATAAAGAAGTTGTAGGCAAAAAACGATAAAGTCATTTTTTTGTTTTTCGGCCATATTTTAAGAACTAAAACGGCTAGATCCAAAAACTTAATTGAAAAATAATGAGCTCTAAGGTACGCAACTTTGCCCCTATTTAACCATTTCTGTATCTCTTATGGTTTCTAAGATCCCAATAGTGGGGGTCGAATTTGAATATATTATCTTATCAACATTTAAAAACAATTTTATTGATAAGTATTTTGAAATTACCGCGCTGTTTTAATTAATTTTGTGTGAATAGATTGTAGAAATTTTACTCATATCAGTAGAAAAAGTCGAGTGTAAGCATTTAAGTATTCACCAGGTTTAATTGTGGTACGAATAAGAGCGGTTTCTAGAACTAAAAATTTGTTTCTCAATCATAAATTAATGAAACCCACCCAGGAACTTTTAGTTTATTTTACAATTAGTTGTATTTACTCGGCAAACACTCAAAGAGATTTAGACGTAGTGACTCATTTAAGCAAATTGAGGATTAAAAATAAACCTGTCATAACAAAGATGTGATACTATCTTTTCGTGAATTTTTGTTATATTATTTATATTTAGAATGTATTTATTAAACTACATCATAATTTCCAATAGAGATAAAATTGAATGACCAAAAAAAAAATTACAATTGACAACACCAATTTATTTTATTTGCCATTAATTTATTAATATTTGTGGTTAATTATTCATGAGTTTTAAAGTTTTGTCCAGATAGTTTTAACCGATTTAAAAATCTCTCCCACATATCCATATATCCACACCCACAAATATTTTATTTTTATTACGGTGAGTGAAAAAATCCCAGGTACCCGAACTGTTTCCAAGAAGAATGACTCCAAAATTAACGAGCGCGGAGGAACACGCGGCATTCCTGAAGTCTCGATTGGGGCGATCGTACCGTGCCGATTACAGATAATTGGGGCCTCGGGAACTGAAATGACTTCTTCCGTACGAGTTAAGATCCTGGAATAAAGAAGTTCCAGAAAAGTGAAATTTATGTGCATACGCGCCATGGGAATATTTTCCAAAGCCCGAGCTGCCGTTGGCGCCAGTGCGACGGCTACAATTATTTCGCCCTTTTGTTGCATTGTTTAAGCCTAGAACGGCTATTCTCGAAACGAAAGACCACGTTGACAATAGATGCCAGGCGCGTTTTAGGGGCTGAACATAAAAATCAAGAAATTCTTTTTTACAAGAATGGAATGGTCACTATTTTTTGAAAGGAAAATTATTTTAATTAGAATTCAACACAAAATTTATATTTTATTATAAGCTACGCGTAATATATTTAAATTGTATTTTATTTATTTTTTTTTAAAGATTTTATGTGTACACATAGTATTTGGTTTTCTAACTTTTCTTCTACCTGTTGCTGAGAACAGATAATGTATTCAGCAGGCTTAAACACGTCCAGTGTAGTGTAGCGAAGTCGATTGTTCCTCTCGAGTGGCCCCCCGTTGTCGGGACCCATTGTACAATGCACCACCCAAAAGACTCAAGTTCATTATTTGACGGTGAACCTCCTTCCAACATTCAAGGAACCCCACCCAAAAATTTAATGTTTTCTTTTTGATAGCCTCTTCAGTTGATTTCATTCTTTTTAAAAGTGTTATTGTTATGCTACAAAGTGTTATCATTTTTTGTGGATTCTTTTTTTCTCCTTTTAATTAAATAGTAATCTGTAAGTAACCTCTGGACTGAATGGACTTCAGTTCTTAAATATTGTTATTTGTCATTGAAATCATTTAAAATTAAAATCATGTTTCTTCAAAGTTGTCGTCTGTATCGAAATTTTGTCTGTTCTTAAAACCTGTAACAGAAAATTTCAGTAACTAAATATCCTGTATATATTTCCTGTATCTAAAATATTTCAACCCATTACAGAAATACTTAACCTGGGAGTTTTAAGTGAAACACTCTGTATAGTAATGTAAAGTATTCATTCAGCTGGTATTATTAAGCATATGTTACACAACATATATTTTCCACAATTTATTCACCCAATTAACTAATAAATAATCGGCCACTTAATTCACTCACCTTGCGCATACATAAATGTTACTTACCTACATCTTGTCTATGAACTCTAAATAAGTGGTTAACGCAGGTTAGATACAAACAGCGTAAATAAAGAACTAATTCAGACTAGTAATAGTTTAATTCCCTACTTCTTAAACATTATTCAGCTTAAAGTTGTTTTCAGTTTATATAAGATCTAACTCGGGCTTGGCTCGTAGAAATTTACATTAGCACAAGACTTAGATGTCGCAACTATAATAAAGCCGAGTGCTGCGTGTCATGCACCTTCCTTTTTCCTTTTTCTTTTTTATACACACCGACATATTAATGCCATTGAAAACGTGCCGTGTAGGCACAATTTATATATTCGTAGGAATCGGCAAAAGATTTTGAAATCGACGCGAACTCAATAATTATTATGGTGTAGTGGGTAGTTTATCTTTTCACGTTTACGTAATCGTACACATTCGTTTTTCGTCTCACATATTTAGTATGTATACTATTCTTCTTCTTTTTCCATCGCGAATGTTTAAAAATAGTAAAAAATCGTTTTCATCGGTTTATTTTCGTTGGCCGCAAACATGCTTTTCCCATTGTTTACGTTAACGTTGTAAAAATCGCGTGGTTTTCGTGGAAAACCCGAAAAAGAAACTTGGAACGGTAATGAGTGTGTAGGTACCACTTATGATAAATTTGACGTTTTGAAACGAAAATATTTACAGTTTGTCTGTGCTGTGAAAATGATAAGTTCGTTTTGGTTAACTTTGATGTTACGCAAGATTTTTTTGGGGAAATATTTATATCTTGCGCACATAAATCAACCTAACCTAACATAATATGTTTTATTGTAAATTGTTGGATTATTTTGAAATAATCTTTATTCATAATTTGCACGATATGCGGACAATTGTATCATTTGTTATCTTTATGGTTGTTTAAAAAAAAGCGAATACAGAAAGGTTATTTTTGTTATCTAAGTAAGGTTAATTTTAAATGTTATTTGCACACGTTATTTTATAATCATTACATTTATGTGTACAGTTTTGTGATTGATTGATATTTGGTAATTGAAAAAAAAATAGATAAACATTTAGATGTTTCATTAATGAAATTTATGTTGAATAAAATTATAACTTATAACAGCAATGTACTGATATTTAATCAAAATTGTTTTATGGATATTTTGACCATATATCTTTTGAGCATACAGGATGTTCGATATCTTCCGCATCAGAGCATTATAGGTAATGTATCCTACAACCATATAATGCTCTGATGCGGAATTCCATATGCAGCTTATTGATGGTTGTTGTTGATATGCCAGATCATGGATTAGTTACAAGGAATGTTGTCGTGGAGTGCAGCATAAGTATTAGATATTTCAAGCTATCTTTATGTACAGATTTTCAACTTGCCAAAAAGCACAGATTTCTATATTAATCATAATTGATAATTTTTGTGCCATTTTCACTGAGAATGGAACAGTAGATAGAGAAATACAAAATAGCATACAAAAAGCAAGTAATGCATATTACCAAATGAATAACACAATTGTGGGCAAGAAGGAAGTAAGAACAAATACTAAATTAAGAATTTATAAAACTATATATAAACCGATCCTCACATATGAAGCTGGAACATGGCCGATGAGAGATAAACACAAATCAAAAATAACCGCAAATGAAATGAAATGTTTAAGAAAGATTGCGGGGAAAACAAGAATGGATCTAATTAGAAACAAAACTATAAGAGACGATTTAGAACAAATATCGCTGGAGAGAATTCCCAGAAGAGTAATGGAAATGGGAATAGTTGGAAAACGAAGGAGAGTGAAGTATATGCCAAGAAACAAACGTAGTTTTAGAAGTTCACATCTAGGGGAAATGATAAAGAAGAAGAAGATAATTTTTGCTACAATTCTTTTCTGATTAATAAACATTTTAATAACAATGTTAGGTTTTAATCTTGTTAAGATCTACTAAAAATCTAAAAAATATATGTATATCCCCTAAAATAGTTTGCTTATCGAAAAGTAAACAGTTTTGTTAATAATTTAGGAAATTTTCTCCTTTAATACTAATTCCAAGCTTCTAAGAAACGAATTTTATGCCGACTTTTAAAGCTAATCGTTAACCGCATAAATCATCACTGAAAGTCGTTTACGAAATCGAGTTAATTTAATTGATACTGTTATTAACAATGATGGAAATTTCCAACGAAATTCTCTAAGAAACGAAATTTAAATATAGATTAATCGATGAAACAAAAATTTCAACCGTTTATTTCTCAAAAAGTGAAATGGACTTTCCAAAATTGATTCGTTTATTAATAATTAGACTGTTTTATTATTAATTTAATGATAATTTATGATTAATAAAGATGTTTGTTAAATTAAAATTCAAATATCCCGCACATTTGAAGTGGTGCCATCTCTTTAATATGAAAGTTTTGTTGATAATTTAGGAAATTTCCTTCTTTAACAATAATACTAAGCTTCTAAGAAATGGATCTTATACCGGATTTGTTATTTAACAATGTGGAAATTTTCAACCAAGTCCTCCAAAAAACGAAAACTAAAATGAATTATCCAAAATTAGCTTGTTTATAAAAAAATTTCATGGTTTTATTAATAATTTAACGATAATCTGTAATTATTTAATTATTAGTGGTGTTTGTAGAATTAAAATTCAAATATCCCGCTCAATTGAAGTAGTGCCATCTTTTTCACATTAAAGTTATTAAAATATGTCATCTGTCAAATTAGAATTTTTATTGTTATCTTGTGGTGATATTATCAAAAAGAAAAATGTTAAATGGTTAAAAGTTCTTATTTTATCGATGAATTTTTGTCTCCTTCAAACTAGAAAGAAGAAATTTCATGATATTAGAAGAAAGTTTTAAAAGAATTAAGAAGTTTAGAACGTTACGAAAGTTGTTTTAAAAAAATTTTTTCAGTAAAATTAATGGAAAATTTTTAAGTAAACTTTTGCTTTTACATTGTAGGTTTCGTTTAATGATAATTTATGATTAATAGAGGTGTTTGTTGAATTAAAATTCAAATATCCCGTTCATTTGGAGTAGTGCCATCTTTTTGATATTAAGGTTATTAAAATATGTCATCTGTCAAATTAGAATTTTTATTGTTATGTTGTGGTGATATTATCAAAAAGAAAAATGTTAAAAGTTCTTATTTTATGCATTTTGTCACCTTCAATCTAGAAAGAAGAAATTTCATGGTATTAGAAGAAAGTTCGAAAACAATTAAGAAGTTTAGAACGTTATGTAAGTTGTTTTAAAAAAATTTTCATCAGTAAAATTGATGGAAAATGTTTAAGTAAACTTTTGCTTTTACATTGCAGGTTTCGTTTAATGATAATTTATGATTAATGGAGGTGTTTGTTGAATTAAAATTCAAATATCTTGATCATTTGAAGTAGTGCTATCTTTTTGACATTGAGGTTATTAAAATATGTCATCTGTCAAATTAGAATTTTGTTATGTTGTGGTGATGTTATCAAAAAGAAAAATGTTAAAGGTTCTTATTTCAACGATGGATTTTTATCTCTTTCAACCTAGAAAGAAATTTCATGATATTAGAAGAATGTTTTAAAAGAATTAAGAAGTTTAGAACGTTATGTAAGTTGTTTTAAAAAAAATGTTCTTCAGTAAAATTAATAGACAATGTTTAAGTAAACTCTTGCTTTTATATTGTAGGTTTCGCTTGCTTGCACTTTCCGTTGAAAGCACCACCACATATACACCATCATGTATCGTAAAAGAGGCTCGTCGCTCTTCGCTCGTCGACCGGGAGTTAGCGTACAAAGTCTTATTTTGTCCCTCTCTAAAACATACAATTGTCTCGCTCAGCCGGTCCAGCGACGGACGGTCGCGGGCAGTAGCAGCAGCAGAAAACGTCGTCGTCGTCGCTGCGGACGTAGTAAACTCAGCACGTCCCTCTCCCACCACACCGCTACATCGCATTCCACTACTACTGGAGTAAAGTTGTAGTAGTATTTTAGTAGCGTAGTAGTGCAGTAGGTAGAACCACTGACGAAACTTGAGAGAACGACAACTTTTGATGCCGGTTCGCGAGGTTCTCTTTTAATCTACTTTTTACTATTGCTACTCAAAGTGATTAAGTTGCAAAGTGAAGCGGATTTCCTCATATTTTCACAAAATACGCAAGTTTCTGGTGTCTACTTTACAACAAAGAAAATATTTTGTGTTTGTCACTTTTGGATTAGAACAGCAAAAAAATTTCTTATTAGGTAAGTTATTTTTTTAAATTTGTTATGTAAATATTTCAAACGTTTAAATTTACTACGAGATTCCGTATAAAAATTGATAAGGAAACTTCTTATCGTTAGAAAAAAATATGCGAAAGTTTTATTTTTAAATAAATAACCGAGATATAAACTGATAAATTTTCTAAAATAAATTTTTCAATTATAATTAAGTAGGTAAATTATTTTTTTGTTCAATTATTTATGGGGGTTTTTAAGTTTCCTCAATAAAGATTATACGTTATTGTTATTCAACATTACTATCGCGTCAAAATAAAAATTAAATAAACAAACATCCGGATAACAAATTTATCTATCTTGCGATGTCGATCTCTTAGAGCACGTCTCTCTTTGTTATTTGAAAGTAAAAGTCGAACGCGCTTTCCTGTGTATAAATAAACGATATTCAGCATCCGTTCAGACCGTTTTCGTTTAATTTTACAATAGCCTCGACGATTTTAACATACCGTTACTATTCTTATACTCAATTTACAATTGAATACGAAATTTTTATTGTTGCTTACTTTTTTGCTATCTGGCATTTTTTGATACAAACTTTATTAACATTACAATTTTATTTTTTTATTCAAATTTCCTATGATTTATCAAACGTGAATATTTATGAAACCCATTTCGAGCGATCTCGTCACTAAACCGACTGATAACACTGTTTATTTTTGCGGTTATCTGCAGTTTGTAGAAGAGACCGTTCGTCTGCGACTGATAGACGCATCGTTTTTGAAAATGTGGAAAAAAATCAACGACAACGCCGCTCGGCGTCTGTTTATACTTGATGATCCCTCTTAACGTAGAGTGAAAGGAATTAATTGCGCATTACATGACCAGGAGGAGCTTCAAAAATGTTTTCGCGTAGAAAGTATGCGGAACATGTAAATGATGTGTTAATCATCGGGTTTCCTTATCTTTTATGTTTATTTTAATTTCCTTAAAACTCTTATTTCTTAATAAAAAAATTAATGTGCACTGTACTTTATCAACAACACTGCATTTTTTCCAACGATTGTACATTTACATTTATATTTGTGTTTTTTCTTAAGGGTTCAAGAGATCAAATGGAAGTCTCAAACATGCGCTTTTTGTATTTCCCGAATTAATTTCATCACAAGTTTTAATATTGCATACTATTTTCTTTAAAAGCGTCAAGTGTTAAAGTGGTCATATAACAATAAGCGAAATTAACCGAAATGAATCAGTTTATGGTGATTCACACTAAAAGGTCGATTCTTTCAGTTTCAATAAACCTTATTCTTGCTCTTTTATGTATTCTATTTGTTATCGAAATGTTGAAAATGCATTCTACTATCGTACTATATGCTTTAATATGAACACGTATTTATTAAATATGATGTTATTTATAAGCCGATTAACAAATAAAAGTTTACTATTTATTAATTAAGGAGATTAATTTTACAGACATTGATGTACTTATACTGGTCTTTTATTTGATTATCTTGTCTAACTAGTTTCGGCACTTGGCCATCATCAGAGAAATTAGTCAAATATTTTTAAAAGATTATGATATCTAACATTTTTAGTTTTATGTTAAAGATTTTATTTCCAAATGTAAAAATAACAGTTTACTTGTGACAGTAACATAACATCACGAATACAAGAAAGAATACAAGCTGCAAACAGGTGTGAGGCACGTATAAAAATATTTAAGTTAAAAGACATATTTGAGGGAGCCAAACTGAAAATGTATAATACTTTGCTGCTTTCCTCTTGTGTTATGTTCGACTACTTTACCAGACTAACACTATTCTAATGTAAATTTAATAAGCATTTGGAAAATAGGCAGTATTTGCAAAAGTACCTTTAACATACTTGTTTTCTGAACATTCATTTTAGAATTAGTAAATCCTTTCATTTTAGAATTATCCTTTTGTCTTCATCTTTCTTTGCCTCTAACCTTCACTTCTTACCAATTTATGTTATTTTAGGCCTTCATTTCTCAATTTCTGCTACTTGAAATTAGCTCTTGAATGCTCTTGTTCTTCATCTACAGTTTCTTCTATATTCTCAAATGTACTGTCACTGCAATAATATTCTTCAGTTGGTGGAAAATAATAGTGTCAAAATAGTGGTTGACATTTTTGGCGCAAAACAATGAATCCACCTCCTTAATACTCACTGAGCACACTTAAAGGCTGTGTGTAATATCGCGTTTATTCTTCTCTTGAGTTATGAATGATATTTTAAATAATTCGTTCTTGTTATGGACAATATGGGAATACGTGCACGTGTTGTCGTGCAAAAGCTACATATTGCTCTTAGCTAAAATAGAGCGGACAGGCTACAGAACTGGATTTGTACATACTACATACTTTGTACATAACTACATTGTATTTAGGAGATATAATACTTATTTTTGACTTAACATTGTTTTGCTCTGGGTGGCGTATTTAGTACTTCTTACCAAAGTCGCATTCTTGGGTGCAATTCTGTATAAAATGAGTTCTAGTCCACTAATGGTTGTCATGCATCACACTTCATAACTCAATGATAGGGACTAAATGCTGCCTCATGTGAGAATAGGGCCGTTAGGGTCAATCGATTAGAAAGACCGTCATTCAAAAAAATCGATAATCTAAATTAAATTAGTCGGATTAGTAACGTTTTCACGCTCGAAAATGGTTTAATTTTTGCAATAATTAATGTAATAGTTTAAAATTCCCCACCCCTGATTCCAGATGACGTTTTAAGTAAGAAGAAAGAAATCACAGACGTTACGTTCGCTCCCGTTTTCTTCTAGCGCATAAGATTCGTAGCATTGTCTCTCTCCAGGAATTTTATTGATTTTTATACGCTCCAATCGTACGTTCAAATCTGAGTGACGTACTTTGGAGTTCGCGCCCTGTAGTTTCAAACTTTATTAAGCCTTAGAATCAAAAATTGAAAAATATAGGGTCAATCAATTTTAAAAAACTTTCGAATAAGCCAACAAAAAAAAATACTTAACGGCCCTATTGCAAGGATATGCGGCAGTGCGACGTACTGAATGTTTGGCTGACTGCCCGACTAACACGTTTTTTAATCTATTACAATAAAGAAGAATTAAGTATACAGAATCGGTCAAAAGTCCTAGAAAAATAAACTTATTTTTTATTATTAAAACACCCTGTTCACAAGTTTTCAGGGGCGCAGGAGGCTTAAAAGTAGAAAAACCAGGATATCGTCCTATTAGAAGAAGAAGAAAAATATATAGATTTTAAAGGTGACAAGACCTTGCTTTGAAGAGTCCTGACCAACCTCAGTTTTGTATAAGTTTTATATTCTAAATAATGCTTTCAATTGGACCAATATAACCAAGCAATAGTGATTCGGATAAGGTTCCTACAAGTATGAAAAGGCATCGGATACTATATTGAAGTCAGCAATAGTCGATAGGTGTCGCAAGTTATAAAGTGAGATAAAACATTTTGCGCTATTACGCTTGAACTATGTGCGCTTCCATCATCCTACATCAATGATATTGATTTTTTTGCTTAAGTCGATGATAGCCAGAATATTTTTAATAACATGTTTCCTATCAATGGTATCAACACAGTGTGGGATTACCATTTTTATTCGTAAGCAACGCAGAGATTACCTCTATTGTTATAGTATATTACTGCATTGTTGGCTATCTTCTCTCCACTACTTCTTTATGTCTATGTTTAGACAACCAAAATCATTTTGCAATCATCTCAATTATCAGAGAATTAGCCAGAAATGATAATTTCCATACAGTTACAGAAATAGAGGCCATGGTGGTGAATATGCCTAAAAAATGTTACAGTTGGACACAATTTATGATTCACATGTTTAATTCTGCAGCTCACTTCACACCCGTTCAATCTTATAACAAAACAACTTCTTTTTCGTTAATCAATTTCTCTCTGTGGGTTTTTTTATTATTAAAAATAAATATAGAATGATTAATTAAAATCATAAAGTGTGTAAAAATATAGAAAAAAGTAAGCACTCGAAAATAGCTATTGTGTAGATAATGTATCAATAAATAGTTTATTGAACGTAAATAGATTACGGAAGGGAGTTCTCTTCTCAGGATAAGTAATGTATTTCTTACTAGGGTCATTGGCGCCGAAGCAACGACGTGTTGTTAAAAGCACGTACAGTGGCGTACATGGTCTGAGACGTATGTGCGCGTAACTATTTATAAATGCCGCGCGGATATGTGATGTATTTAAAGCCTCTCCTGCATCGAGAGCGTATAGTGCATGTAGGAAGAAAAATTTGCAGCGACAGAATCATTTCCTAAGACGCTTAACAATATCCACAAAAAGAAATATAACATTATTTAATAGGCAAAGAGCCAATTGATTGAAGAAATTGTCGATGAGTCATCGTGTGATGCCGAACAGAAGGAAAGCCAGATCAATTAAGATTTACCGAGATCTAGAAGGAATCCTTAGTATGTAATTATAGTCGTTTGGGGAGACCTGCTTGCTGCTACTAAGCTAGCTTGTTTTCTCCTACGTCCCCAGACTCTTTAACGTCGTTTAATTACAAAACGTCTTTTGCGAAACGACCCATTAGATTACGTTTACTGCTCAGCAAAAACGGTTAACCGCATCCTGCTCAACATCGTTCGTACCGACCATTTAAAAAGGAATAAAAAAAAATACAAACCTGCCAATCGCGCGCGCTAACCCTGCTTTTTATTGCTGCCTTCTTTAAAACCGTTCTGGTAGACGAAACAATTAATAGTCTCTTTGTTAAATTCTACTATATCAGATACGTTTGAGTCATGACTCATACATTTGTAACGCTTCTAAGAAATAATCACGTATGTTCTATATTGTATGTATTTTTCTTTGTGTTATAATAATAAATGAGTGGTTTTCGAATGATTCATTTTACATAATTAGTGAGTGTTATATTATGATAAAGTATGCAAACTTTTTGTTGTATAAAGTTTTTGTTGAATCAATTTAGCCCTAAATCAAAATTTTTCTAAATTT